CCCTCCCTCCCGCCCGCCTGCGGTGGAGACACCCTAACCTGCGCGTCCAGAGTGGGGGCCGCCAGGCACGGGCGGCTGCGGAGCACTTTCTAGTAAACGTGACTTGTGCCATTGAGAAAAGGAATTTTTAAAAAATATGTATTATGGAGAATCGAACCTGGGACCCTTCAGTCCGCAGGCCGACGCTCTATCCACTGAGCCACACCGGCCAGGGCTGGGCAAGGGATTTTACATTTTATTTCATTAGCCTGACTTCAGTGTCAACGTCCACAGCCACCGGAGGCCAGCGGCTCGCACTGGACGGCAGCCCTGGGAACAGGCAGGGGGCCCCCGCCTCCAGGGGCAGCTCCGGCCCGAGGCCCCCAGGTGCCCCCGAGCTGCCGCCTCCGCCTTGTCACACGTGCGGTCCCCACGTCCACGGGAACCCTCGTCCTCTGGGCCTCGGTGATGGCCATTTCCTGGGAGAGGCCCAGGCAGAGGCCAGCTCAGTGCCACGCCTCACCCTCCTGGGGCCACGGGGGCGTGAGGAGCAGGCCGTGGGCATCGCGTGGGATGGAGACACAGTGCCTCCCCACCCCGACCTGGAGGTGCCCCTCAGCTCTCAGCCCCAGGAGCCCACTCACAGCGTGGGTGGCACAGTTGGCCGCGTGCTCGTACTCCGTGGGCTGGTACCTCTTGTGGGCGGGCACCCGGTGGTTCATGAACCTGGAAGGAGAGGCACCTTCCTGTTGCTCGGCCCCTGCGGTGGGAAGAGGGGGTCCCACTCCCCGCCCCCCCAATCTCTCCCTATTACATGTCTTGTACTATCCAACGCCTGATCCCCGGGGAGTAACAGAACGTGGCTGAAGGTCGGGGTGCTGCTGTCACTTTACTGTCACTGACACACAGTACAGCTCCCCAAGGGCACGCCTGATGAAGGGTGACATATGCCCACGTGACCCCCTCTGGGGGGACAGCTCGTGCCCCACCCGTCCAGCCCTTCCCAGGGGACCTTCTTCCAGGAAGCCACCTCCCACCTGGTCCTTGTGGGTGAGGCTCCCGCACTGCCTACCAATGGGGACCACAGCACCAAAACCTCCCCCGAGATCCGTCACTACGGTGAAGACCCACAGAGATGGAAATGAGTGCAGGGCTCAGAACACGGGGCTCGATGCAGGGCAGCGCACAGAGCACTTATTGGGCACCTTATGTGTACAAAGCATTTATCGAGCACCTTCTGTATGCAGGGGCCATGACATGTCCTGACAACAAAACTAGTGCCACACGCGGGTAGTGTCCCCTAAAATTCCGATGTCGCAGTCTGAACCCCCGGAGCCCGAGAGTGTGGCCCCAGGTGGACTCAGAGCTGGTGCAGGTGTGATTCACGAAGAAGAAGTCACTGCAGGGGGCGGGCCCTGCTCCGATCGGACTGGATCCTCATAAAAGAGGGAGACACGGAGCCAGGGGCCACTGACGTCGGCAGAGATTGGCATGCTTCTTCCACAGCCGAGGAGTGATGCCCAGGTGGCCGGCCCCCAGAAGCTGGGAGACAGCCCTGCGGACTCAATAGCGCCTCCCGGGACCCGGCTGCCCACACCCTGCCCTCTGCCCTCCAGAGCCGGGGAACGAAGTTCTGTTCTTGTTTTGTTTTTAATATATTTTTATTGACTTCAGAGAGGGAGAGGGAGAGGGAGAGAGAGAGAAACATCAATGGTGAGAGAATCATTGATGGGCTGCCTCCTGCACACCCCACACTGGGAATCGAGCCTGCAACCCGGGCCTGTGCCCTTGACTGGACTCGAACCCGGAATTACAGTCCACAGGCCGACGCTCTATCTACTGAGCCACACCGGCCAGGGCTGAGGTTGCTGTTTTAAGCCACTGAAGTGCGTGTGGTCATGTGTTACCGCAGCCCTACCGACACGGACACACGCACACCCAGTGTTCACTCGGTAGATTCCGCCCCGAGCCCCCGGACGGTGCCGATGGACGCCTGCTGGCTGGCCGGGCTGGGCCGGAGCCGAGGCCTTCCTCCCGTGGGAGCGGGGCTCACGCCGTTACCAGGCGGGCCCGGCTGTCCTCCCTCCGTCTGGCCCTTTAACAAACACCATCCAAGCCCCCAGCGTGCCAGCCACCCCGGTTCCAGGGTGATGACACGGTTGCCGTGGCAACCCAGGATGGCTGGGCAGTTACTCCTTTATTTCTGGGCCCCACAAAACTGTCCTTGTCTCCCACCCCACCCCACCCTGTGCGGTGGCAGCTACTGAATGCCCGGGAGTGACAAAGGCGGCGAGAGGAAGCCAGGCCGGGAGACAGGGCCGGGCCGGGCAGATGCCCAAGAACCCGGTTCCCACAGCCCACGGCGCCAGCTCCCTCCTTCGCCCGGGCCTGGGCTCGCTCCATGAACTCTGCGCAGGCGTTTTACGAGGACAGCGCATTAATGTTTGTTTTCATTTTCCTTCGAATTTACCTAAATTTCTTTTTTGCTACAGTGGCATGGGTTTTGCCAATGTAGAGGGTTGTGGAGCCGTCACCACTCAGGACCCTTCATCGCCCCCAGCGCCCTCGTGCCCCCTGGTCCCCAGCCCTCCCCAGCCCTGTTCTGTCCCCACAGCGTCGCGTTTCCAGAAGGTCCCACGGGAAACGGAGTCCTGAGCCTTTTTTTTTTAACGTCTAAAGAGGATTTAGTATATCAAGTCCAAGTGCATTCTTAGGAGAAAGGAAACGCTCTGAATGCCACAAGGGGATTTTCTTATTTTCCTATTCAAAACGTGTCGAAGGCAAGCGTGTTTTCTCCAGTGAGAAACGGGCCTCCTCGCTGTAACGTTGCCAGCCTGGCCACTCCCCACCCTCCCTCCTGCGGCGGCTCCTTTCGCTGGTCCCTGTGGGCGAGGTTCGTGGAGCTGTGTCCCCTCCCTTCACCGTGGGAATACGCCACTGTGCGCACGCATAACGGCCTGTGTATCC